CCTAGGTGTTGTTTTAGCGCGAGTATTGACGATTAAGTAGTATCGACAGAGTTATATTACGGAAAGAATAAACCAGTTTTATTAAGTAAAGTACTTGTGTCGTTAAAGTTTCGTCGGAACGAAGTTACGGAAAATTAATTAACACACGGAGACGTAACAGTGGGTTATCTGCTGTGTTCGCTGCGAGGAATCGAATCGCGGATTTTAGCGTTGTAAGTCTCATTGGGGAAGAAGTATTTAGGGTGAAAGCTCCCTATTACGTTTCATATTTCAACACAAGTTGTTGAAGTAGAAATTCAAAATCATCTTTTTAGCTATAGCCGATCCTTGTTAGTAACTGTAACCCTCGATAAAGGTTGTAAAATCGGAATGTTGGAATGTAAATAAAATTAATGAAGATTAGATTCGTTTATCCATAAAATGTCTAAAAGTAAATCAGATACTTCATTCTACGCTATGTAATCAGAAAATAAAAAAAATGTGATACATCGTTTACATCCTCGTACAAGTCGTCCATGTGATGACGTCATATATTGAAAACTGCTTGGGAAAAAAAACATACCTGGCAGGCTGAATAGAATGTTACACACGTAGCTACAGCGCAAGTAACAGGTCGCTGAGTTGCATTGGCAGTGCTACTTGTCGACGTAATGATAGTAACTTTTGTATCAGATTATTCTTTTTTTTTGTGAAAAACTAGAAAGAATAGATAAAGCATTGTGTTTGAGTTTTCTTAAGATAGTATTAGTATTAGCAATGTTAACAAATAGGGCTGCATGTTCAGCAGCAATAAAGTAACGTGACAACGTCGTATGACTGTCTTTCAGTGACTCACTTATGGGGCGTGCTTTTCTAGTCTTGTGAAAAACGAACGGTGAACGCTGTCAGGATTTAGAGTAACGTGACATTTGAAACTGTGACTGTGAGCTTTTCTTTCTGTTGAGAGTTCAGCTGGATACAATCTATTCTTGTTGCTGGCATATAGTGTAGAAGAGTATTTATTAACACAAGATAACATGCTTGTAACACTAACAGTACCATTTATTTTTAAATAACAGCTTAATATATATAGTCATAAGTTTAAAATATCATAATTTATGGTGTGGAGAGTTGTAGTGTCAAACTGTACATCTCAGCATCAACTATGACAAATTCAATGTCCAAGTTAATCCACATTACAGCAAAGAAAGCAAGTCTTCCTCCTGAAATTATTACAAGAGGTTTGACTGTGGCTGTTATAACAGCTTATGCTTTAAAAATTGGGTATCCAATGTTACTCAGTTCACTATCAGCAGTGAGGAATAAAGCTAGAGAAGCTCAGGAAAACATTTCTAGTACAAGTCCAATTATATCTATGCAGAGAAATCGGGTGCTTACTGGAAATGAAGAAGCTGAAGAACCACTTGAAACAATTGAGAAAAGGTCACAAAAGGATGGAAAGTCATTGACATCAATAGAGCTGACAGATGAATCAACAAAACAGAAGTTAAAATTGTCACCAGCATTTAACAAACAGTTTTTGCTACAACTTGTAAAACTAATCAAAATTATGATACCTAAGCTACATTCACTTGAAATGGGCCTTCTTGGTTTGCATACTTTGTCTCTGGTGTCAAGGTCATTCTTGTCCATTTATGTTGCAAGATTAGAAGGTCATGTTGTTAAAAACATTGTTAGAAAAGATATTATGAAATTTGCCTTTCAGCTTTCCAAATGGCTTCTTGTAGCAATACCTGCTACTTTTATCAATAGTCTTATACGGTTTTTGGAAAGTCAGTTAGCATTAGCCTTTCGCACACGTTTGGTTCGTCATGCTTATGATCTTTATTTTAAAAACCAGACTTACTATCGAGTAAGCAATTTGGATGGCCGCTTGGAAAATGCAGACCATTGTTTAACTGATGATATTGCAACATTTTCACAGTCTGTTGCTCACTTATATTCTCACATTACTAAGCCATTGTTAGATGTTGTGATTATTAACTTGACATTATTCAAAATGGCTAGAAGCATGGGATCTTTTGGTATTGCAGGAAATGTGCTAGGTGGAGCAATGGTATTTTTAACTGGACACATTTTAAGGAAATTATCACCAAAGTTTGGGAAGCTTGTATCGGAAGAAGCCAAGCGTAAAGGATATTTAAGATTCATCCACTCTAGATTGATTGCTAATTCTGAAGAAATAGCATTTTATGGAGGACATGAGGTATGTTCTGGTTTTGAATTTGGTTTAATGTAATTCCAATGTATAGTTTACAGATTTATTTAACTTTTTTTTTGTTTTTTACATTGAATATGTCATAACATATGCTGTACAAATTTAAAATATGCTCTTTAGACTAAAGTTTAGTACTGAGAATATGAAGGACTGCCAAGTAAAAGTTGTTTGTATGCTTTGGGAAAAACCTGGATTTGTAATTTTTAAGTAGTTCCAAATTGTACAGAGAGTACTGTTCCTATGCTGTAACTAACTCAATTACAAATAATACACCATGTAATTACTTGCATATTTGATAGAAATTTTAGTTGTGTTATGATATGAATGGCAAATAGGAATTTGTTTACATGAGATTTGAGCAGTTGAAGACAAAAAACACAATGAAAAGAAATTAAGCACGATATTTTAAAAATTCCAATTCAAATACAAGCAGTCACGAAAGGATTCAAAAATACATGAATATATTTATGGATTGAGCTATTACATGTTATAAAAGTAGCTTTAGCAGAATGTTATGTAAGGGAAAGCACATGTAAATGGCATGAATACACCCCCTCCGCAGCATGTGACACCCTTGCTATTTTTGTAGTATTTGCAAAAAAGTGCTAATTAACTAATTTTTTTATGATTTGAAAACTAAGAATGTGTTTCTTTGGTTCAAACACTCCCCTTCAGGAGGCTCATGCCTTTCCATCGTTAATTACAATTGTAAGATCCACCATAACTTTGGGTTCGAGACAAAATTTATCAGACTGTGATTCTATGGGTGCCATTGTGTGTTATTAACCTTCTAAGCTACCAATATCTTTTATTTCTATATATTTCAGATTAAAAATTGTAATATAATTTGCCAAAAAATGTTATATGTACATGTAGTGCAAGTTATCAGAAAGTGCATTTACAGTCAGTGGCTCTTAGATTTCACACTGTTGTGTGAGCATGTGAACAACTATTCATATGCTGCATTTACATACGAAATATAATAATCCTGAAACAGAAGAATAGGACTGGGTGATATCATTTGTATCAGTGATTCATATTAAAGGTTTATTGCAGGAACTTGTTGTTAAAAAAACATGAGTATTACGTACTAAGAAGCTGATGAGACCCTTAAGTATATTGAAATTACAATTCTCATGACCTTTAGAACCAAATAATTTAAAATTTGATTATGTCACTATAATTATAAATATTTTATGGATATTAATGTAAATACTTGATTTGTAATGACTTTCACATTCATATATATACACACACACACACACACACACACACACACACAACAGCTAGTAATTAGTGCTCA